ACTTGCTCCACCAAAGACCAGCAATGGGTGCTGCCTTTGTGTATCGAGCCCATTGGTTCAGAATCTGTCCACCCAGAACGAGTAGCTGTAAATAAAACCTGGAGGGTTTATACAGTATGGAACATGCTGTGCAGCATCAATGTTGTCTATCACGTTCCTCCTCGATGACACAAACTGTGATGCATAACACGCTCCCTACGAAGTTCACGTGCCATCTCCCCAGCTGGGGAGGTGTGCCAGCTGGTGGGCATTTCCTCACGGAGTTGATGAGTGAGCCAGCAAAGCCTCCTGTAAGGGCTGAGGTGGGTGTGAGGGTGGTACTGGTCTGCTTCCACCCAGTGGTTCTCTTGGTTTGAGGTAAAACAGAACCCATTTTCTTTTCAGGCATTTTACTTTGCAGCTAAGCCTCTTCCAAGTCACTGCCTGAACTCAACAGGATATTTTTCAGACAGTATGCACTTCTAGCAGGGAAGGTCTGATGTTTCTAGTGAGTACCAGGGAATGGTCTGCAGAGAGGCTCCTGCTTATGCTTCTTGCTAGAACCACCAAGGCCAGCTGGCTTTGTTCTGCACAGAGTTGGAGGGTCGGAAGTGGAAGAGCGCAGTGGGGTGGCATGTGTGGGGAGAAGCAGACAGGAGAGGTGACCCCAACCTGACCAACAGAGTATTCCATCGCACTGGCATCATGCTCAGTATAAAAGTTGAGAGACGACGGCTCACCCTCTTTCTTCAATGGCTGGCATCTGAGGAGGACTCTGTCTATTCGTCTGCCTTTGATCCCGATCTGTGCATTCCAGACTGCAGATTGGGAATCCAGTTCCCATCCATCACTGGGACCAGTCTGGGACTTCCCCGGTGTCTGCAGGTGATGCAATCATCATCTTGAAAGCTCCAGATGGGTCAGGTTAAAGAGGACATCTGTTGTTTGGTGTAGTGGCCAGCCAAGGCCAAACCAGGATGGTGGTGCAAGAGTGGAATCTGCTGGGCAGAGCAGAAGGGCAGGGGTGCTTCTCTCCTCGTCTCTTCTAAGGTAGTGCTGGGGCTGCACGATGCGGCCCCTTGAGGCCATGGCATTGGAGCTCATCCAGGGAATCCAAGCAGGAAAACTAAGTTGACACCTGCAAGGACAGAGTCAGAAAGTGATTCTTTGGTTTGATTGTTTCATTCTTCCTTCAATTATCTCAGGTGAGATGTCAGCTTTTTAAGGAGTGCCAGTGTCTTGGTGTCTACAGCTTCTTGGCACAGCTCCTTGCAGTGTCTTTGGGATTCAGGCAACACCAGCCAGTGCAAACAGAGCATCAAGAAGTGCAAAATGAAAACTGCCAAGGCTGGGCTGGTATGTTCCTCCTGACGTACACATTCTCCCAAAGGCAGGTGCTTGCTACCTCCCTGGGGCCATCTCTGTGGGGGCATCTCCCCAGGAGCAGAACTATTTCCGCTACTCAGAGCAAAATGTTCAGAGCTTTGAAAGATGGACAGCAGAGTCTGCTACACACCTGGGCTCCTCGTTCTTCTTTCCTGCTTGGATGTCCTCAGTTCTCCATCCCTGGGAGCTCCCTTTCCAACTTGCTCTTCTGCCTCTCGGGTTGCCCGTCTGTTGCCTCTTCGCAGGTTGGTTTTCTCTTCCTGATTTCATGGGAAGAGCCTGGCAACCTTTCCATTCAAGCATCTTGTTAGACAGGTAAAGCCACGAGAAACTTAAACAAATTCTACTCTTAGCCAAAGCTGGCTCATTGTACCTTTTCTCCTGGGACGAGCTCTGGTGCTTGCCTTCTGGAGCCACTCAAGGCACCTGCAATGGCAATGTGGCCGTTAACAGGTGGCAAGGACCTACCTGCCCCATTGCTCCCTCAGCTCTGAAAGGCAGATCCCTTGGGTGGGTTTGTGGCTCTGACATACCTCTGCTGTTTCCGCCTCCACCTGAGGTGTTGGCAACTCTTCCCCAGATGCCCTGGCAAGGTCAGCCACCTCCTCCTCCTCAAAGAGTTCCCCATGGTTCTCAACGAGGAACTCCACCAGCTGCGTCACCTGCAGACAGCAAACCATTGGTTTCCACCTAGGTAGCTCCAAATGGGTCAAGCAGCCTCTCCCACTCCGCACCCTTGCTTCTGTGCAGAAAGCTGCAGCTCTGCACAGGGCTGCTCTTCCTGGCAGCTCTTCCCAGCCACCAGCGTTTGCTGAAGAGAGGAGGCAGCCAGGACCCTCTGAGCAGCAAAGCTGGGCTGGGCCCAGAAGGCTGTAGGCAGGTGGTCAACACAGCCTACCTTCTGTGTCACCTGCGCCAGTGCCTCCAGTGGGAGCGTGTGCTCCTCTGGTGGGCTCAGGAGGTTTGGCCCCACGCAGATGGCCAGGTTGTGAGCTGTCATCCTGCTGGTGGCCACGCTTCTGCTGATCTTGTGAAGCACAAACAACAACTCCTTGAGGAGGAGGAAGTTGGCTTTGGGCAACTGGCTCGCCACCCTGAGGGAACAGGAAGACCATGTTAAAGAGGTAGATGCTGTGGACACAGGTAGCCCAGGCTGATCTCACCCAAGCCCACCCGAGGGAAGGCTCCCTGGCCATGCCTGCTCTGCAGCAGAGGGACTGCCTTTGCTGAGGGACAGTCACCTCCCTCCCACCCTGCCCTTCTGACAAGAGGCCCTTCATGCAGAAACCCCCAATGCCTGTGGGAAGCGCTCCAGAAGAGAAATGCTTTTCTGTGCCACTTTCCCCCAAACCCCAGCCCCGCAGCAGCCAGAGGTGGCTGGCAGAGAACACGGCTTTTTCAAGGAGGCGGTCGCTTTGCAGGCTGCTGGCCACACTTACTCTTTCAGTGCCGCCACCTTCTCCTGCCTGCTGGTCACCTGCAGGGCGCCCATCCACTGCTCAAAGAGCTCTGAGCGCAGGAGCTTGGAGGGGATCTTGCGGAGGAAGTCCTGCAATGCCAAGGGCTGCGGGTGAGGCTTTGGGCACTCCCGCCGGGAGCACAGGCAGCATCCCCGGCACTCTGCCGCAGGAGCAGGCGGCTGGGTTTCGGCTCCTGCTCTCGCAGGTGCCCATCGGCATTGAGAGAGCCAGGAGCTGCTGGGACCCAGGTCAGCAGGGCTCACCTTCAAGACTACAGCCAGCAGGTGTGGAGGCTGGCTTTCAAGGTGGACCTCTGCTCCGCTGTCCAGCGCCTCCCTGAGCTCCCGGGAGGCGCGCTCGCCAGCTGCCAGCCGGAAGATCCCCTCCGAGGATGGCCCATGCTCCCGCAGGAGGGCCAGCAGGTCCTGCAGGGCACAGAGGAGGACAGTTATTGGGCTGGAGACAGACTTTGGGGCAGGTGAACCTGCCTTAGGGCAGGAGCAAGCATGGACACCTCCACAGTTCTACACTGGGGCAGGATGTAGGAGTGGGTGACATGGGGAGGAGCCTGCTTTGTCCCCAAGTCTCACGTGGGGTGCCCTCTGCTTGGGCCACCGCCTCTTTGGAGGAGCCAGGGGGATGGCCAGGCATGCTTACTTGGATGGGCTGGGGCAGTGTCCCGTCCTGGCTGCAGACTTCTGCCAGGGGCCGTCCAAAGAGAGCCCCGCTGCTGCCAGAGCCCGATGGCCTGGGCACCTCTGCAGCAGCCGAGGTCCCTCGCCGTGAAAATGGCCAGGGCAGAGACATCCTCCAGCGAATCCCACCTGCTGCCAAGGAAAAGAGAGCAAAGAGGCTCAGAGGAGAAGCGCCAGGCAATCGCTCCTGGACCCTCTCCGTGCTGTCCCCCACCACTGAAAGCAAGGGAGAGGCGTTGTTTGGGAAGGAGGGGTCCTGGGGGCTCAGCTCTCTCCGGCCGCAGAGCGATGGGGATGGACGTGCCCTGCGGGAAGGGCAGCAGCAGCCCCAGAGAGGAGAAGGGCCGTCCTGTCCCCGTGTTCTCCAAACTCACCTTCCCTGTGGCCAAGCCCACCTTGGCTGCCAGAGGGGACAGGAGGTGGCCGCTGCTTGGGACCAGCCTGCAAGAAATGCACTGTGCTCACCGAGCAGCCCCGCAGCAGAAAGGGCCCGGGGGGAGCTGCATCAGCCACGGGCTGTGTGTGGGAGATGGAGACGGCCGAGACTGCAGCCCGAGCCATCCTCACCTCTGCCTGGCGCTTGACCAGCTTCTCAAGGCCCCTGGCATCTAGTGGCTTCGCCTGGGCAAGGGGAAAACACCAGAAGGTCAGAAGCCATGCACCCGATGCTGGGCTGGGGCGGGCTCTGGGGGCAGAGGGGAGACAGGAGGGACACTCACAGCGTTTCGGCGTCTCAGCTCCTTCATCAGGAGCTTGATGGAGGGCAGCCGGGTCACTCGGGCCCCCTCCACTCCTTCTGGTGGCCTGTGCACAGGGAAAGGGACGAGAAAGAGCTGTGTGAGACCCAAGCCGCCTTGTCCCTCCCTTCCCAGCCCGGGGAGCACTTCCAAGCTGCCCCCAAGCAGCCGGGTAGCGGCCGGCAGTGGAGCGCAGAGCAGCGGCGGTGGTGAGGCTGGGGCTGGGCAGGTGTTGGCTGGACACAGGTGGGCTCTCTGCCCGCTGGAGAGCTGCCCGCAGCCGTGGGGACACCTCTCCCTGGCTGGGGAGTGGTGTTTCCCCATGGTACAGCTACGCCTGCAGCATCCCCTGTGCTGTGAGCAGGGCTTGCCCAGGCTGCACGGCCAGGCAGGGCTTACCCAAGGAGGGCGCTGAGCCAGAGCTCCTTCACCACCCGGGAGCTGCAGAAAGAGCGGAGAAAGACCCTGAGTGCCCGCTGCTCCCCATCCTGCGGGCAGAGGGGGGCTGTGGCACAGCCCTGCCCCGTGGGGACAGCCCCAGAGGCAGGAGAGAGCCCCGTGGGGCAGGACAGAGGCGCTGCCTGGCCCTGCCGTGGGACGAGGCACTGAGACTCACCAGAAGGTCACGATGCAGGATCCCCAGGGCCAGACGAAGACAAGGGACTTGGTCTCCTTGGTTTCCTCCTCCTCGGCGCCATCGCCGGCTGCCCCCTTCCCGCTGCAGAACACCTGCAGCACGGCCAGGGCCAGGCAGAGCTCTGGGCGCGGGGCGCTGTCACGTCTGCAAAGAGGACCCGCAGGGAGTGACCTGGAGGTGGCCGAGCCCGGTGGCTCCCCTCCATCCTCTGCCTGCCACGGGCACGGCCATGGGTGCATCCAGCCTCAGGGTGCCGGGGGCCTGGGGCAGCTCCTGGGCTGTCCCTGCCCTGGGGCCGGGGCCAGGGCTCGGGAGGAAAGGCAGCCGGGCTCCGTGAGTCTTACTTGGCCTTGGAGATGAGCAGGGAGTCCCGGAGGAGGAGGAGGTCCCTCTTCTTGGTCCGCCGGCCCTGGGTCACCCGCACGCGCTGGTGTTCGCGCACCTCGGGTGATGCCGGCAGGAGCAGGCACTGCTGCCCGGGCTCAGGGTCGTCCCTGCGGAGCAGAGGGCGTCGGGCATGAGCAGGGCGGCTGCTGCGGGGCCCGGCTGTGCCAGCGTGTCCCCGAGCCATGGCGGGAGCTCACCTGGACCCGCGGCAGCAGTGCACCTGTCCCATCCTCACGCGATCGGGGAAGCCTCACGTGGGACACAGCTGTGGGGCTCAGGAGAGTTCCCAGTTGGCCCACGGGAGGCTACCGAGGGGTCTCGCTACTACACGCGATGCCACAAGCACACAGGGCAAGAGCTGGGCTCTCTCCCGTGACGCTCTGCGCTGGCACAGCAACGTCCCTGCGGGCAGCGGGGCCTTTTGTGGGCCAGCGCCAGTTCCAACATTGTGATGTCAAGAGTGGCACCGGGGGGTGGGCGGGGGAGGGGTTCCAGGGGGCTCTCCCCAGTGTGCCCATGTCTCCCTCGTACTGGGGAGCCCAGACCTGGGCACAGCATGGCAGGCACAGCCTCACCAGCACTGAGCAGAGGGGAAGGGTCACCTCCCTCCAGCTGCTGGCAAGGCTTTGCCCAGTGCATCCCCGGGTGCCACTTGCTGCCGCCTTTGGGCAAGGGCACTTTGCTGGCTCCTGGTCCACTTGGTGTCAAGCAGGGCCCCCACGGCCTTCTCTGCCACGCTGCTTTCCAGCAGCTTTATAGAATCAGAGACTCATAGAATCGCCTAGGTTGGAAGGGACCTTTAAGATTATCAAGTCCAACCATCAGCCCAACACTCCCCAAACTACCACTAAGCCATGTCCCTAAGCACCACCTCTAACCCGTCTCTTCAAGACCTCCAGGCATGGCGATTCCACCGCTTCCCTGGGCAGCCTGTTCCCATGTTTGATAACCCTTTCGGTGAACAAGTTCCAATGTTTGATCAACTTTTTGGTGAAGAAATTTTTCCTAAGATCCAACCTGAACCTCCCCTGGTGTAACTTGAGGCCATTTTCTCCTGTTCTATCACTTGCTATTTGGGAGAAGAGACCAAACCCCACCTCGGTACAAGCTCTTCTCAGGTAGTTGTAGAGAGCAAGAATCACAGAATCACGTGGGGTTGGAAGGGACCTCCAGAGATCACCTAGTTCAACCGCCCTGCCAAAGCAGGTCCACCTACAGCAGGTTGCACAGGAACGTGTCCAGGCAGGTTTTGAATGTCTCCAGAGACGGAGACTCCACCACCTCTCTGGGCACCTGTTCCAGTGCTATGCCACCCTCAAAGTAAAGAAGTTCCTCCTCATGTCCAGCAAGATGATTTTTATTGTGATATTAATTAAAAGGTAGCCTGATTTATCAGACCAAAATTTTATCTTTTTACTGTTGAAATGTAAAGATCCTGTAGTCTGAATGACACCAGAAAGAGTCTGTGGACTTACCCTATCTAATACCAGACTTGTAATTTAGGTCTTCATAGCCTCCATTTAAATATATGGGAGAAGACATAGAAGACTCCGGCACGTCCTTATGTACTCTCAATAGCACCTCCAGATGGCAAACTAGCCCACAAGTCATCTGAGTCAACCACTGACTGTTGAAAATCAAAGGCATTTACATTCCTGATACTGGAACTTCAGTTATTTGCCTAAAATTAGTGTGGAAAAATCTGCACTCTAAAATTTGTAAATGTACTGGCTGATTAAACCACTGTTGACTCTTACAGAATGAACTGCAATCTGCAGAGCAGAAAGCAGAGCTGGAAAACCACAAAAATATCTATATTTCTTGTGTATAAGCAAAGCAAATAGTCAGATGAAGCACAGTTTTGGGTTCAGCAGTCCTAAGAAAGTTTTCCATTCTTTTCATGACCACCAATCTTAGTATCTCAAGGGATTTTTTTTAACAAAATTGCCTTAGATTTTGCCCAAAGCAGTTGAGCTAATCTGGTTTGCAACTAACTCCTTTAGTTAATTTTATCAGACTGACTGGCTGATCTGTCTTTAATTTGCTAATATTTTAACATTTTACTAATCCATTTCTCTGTCTCTTCTTAGTCAATGTTTCTTGTTGAGTGTTCTTGCTTCTTATTATCTCCTGATAAATTATGTTACAAGGCATGTTTTCATGGTTTCTAAAAAAATTCTTGCATGCTAGTGTTTGTGATCAGTAGCTGTATGGTTGATACACAAATAAGTCACTTCCTGTTTCATAAACCAACAAGAGAGGGAAAGGGAGTGTGATGAAGGCTTGGTCTCCATAGAATCATAGAATGGTTTGGGTTGGAAGGGACCTTAAAGATCACCTAGTTCCAGCCCCCTGCCATGGGCAGGGACACCTCCCACTAGAGCAGGTTGCTCAAAGCCCCATCCAGCCTGGCCTTGAACACCTCCAGGGATGGGGCATCCACAGCTTCTCCGGGCAACCTGTTCCAGTGTCTCACCGCTCTGAGAGTAAGTAATTTCTTCCTGATATCTAATCTAAATTTCCCCTCTTTCAGTTTAAAACTGTTACGCCTTGTCCTGTCACTCCACTCCTTGATAAAGAGCTCCTCCCCATCTTTCTTGTAGGCCCCCTTTAGGTACTGGACATGAAGCTGGAATGCAGCTGAAGTTTGTAGCTGAACCCAGACCTTGAGATATGCTTTTACCTTCCACAGTTCAGATTGCCTTAAGTGCTACTACTATAGCAGAAAAGAAGTCAAATAAGAATATAAAGACTATAAATTTGGTTTTCTTATGAGGCTTCCTGTGACTTATCTTTCCAAATTATAGTAGTGGCTAATCCATCTCTTCCCAGAACAAAGGTTTAAATCTCTAAAGTTTTGGCTATCAGTTCAGATTTTGACTAAATAGGGCTCCATCAACACTTGTTTCTTTTGCTAAATTCATCCTAGGCTAGTCACTTTAGGATTATTAAAGGAAGTTATCAGTTTAATTCAATAGAAATCAAGAATCAAGGTTGAATTTATTTATATACTAGAATCAAAGCTCCAGCCCGGTTACCTGTTTATGTCTAACATGACCTGACATAAAGCATAGCTTCATGTTCATAAAAAGTTATGGGGAAATCTTCAAAGAAATATGATTCTTTTTTCTTCATACCTTTTAGACATCCTAAACTACACAACGTATTAATTTCCAAAGCATTTCTAAAACATTACCTACTATTAGCTACACTCATTTAAACTGAATTTATATTAGTTTCTATTACCAAATTGCCATAGCTAAGTTACTAATATAACAACTTTGAACTTGAGTGCTTTCAAAAACAAATTACTAAGCATCCAAGACATTCAAACTTCATAAAGATATACCT